CAGGCACAGTGGGTTGGTCAAAGACCATGATTGAGATACGAGAGGTACCTGGTTCAAGTCCTGCCTGGGAGCGGTTTTTCCAGCCGTGCTGCTACCCACAGTCAACTGGGAACTTGTGGCCAGGCACAAGGGGTACATGGATGCAGCTGATGGGGTCGTTCTCGGTACTTGTGCCAGTGGTTGTGAGACTTATCCACTCACCCCCACCGTTGCTGGCGTTAGGCGCTGCATCTGCCGCTAGGATTTACCGGGTGTTAGCGGCCGTCGTGAGTTCCCTTCGGGAACGGACACGATAATTTACTTTTGTTTTCCTTTAATTCACTGTAGACTGTACATTTCGGTTCAGGATGTATGAATCATGGAATGCGTTTGGCAATGGCAGGGTGATGTGTTGTTGACTGCAAAACCGGGCAAATAACAAATCACTACTCAGCATATGCCTCTCCCCCACTCCTGCCATTCCATATGTCTCATCGCTGCCTTGCTGCTTTGTGCCGTCAAATGGTGTGTGTGGTTTATGTAAAAAATAAATAAAATGAAAATGCAAGCATCGCAAATGTCTGATCATGATACCGTATATTCTCTATTATAAGCGCCGTGCTTATAATTATTTTTTCAACACCCCTCTACCCCGTGCTTATATTGGAGACCGCGCTTATATTGGAGACCGTGCTTATATTTTTTCAACCAATGCATCCATACAGGGCAAGAAGAAATACATGCTTGATATCATGCATCCCGCTTTGATTTCCACCAAGACCGTGCTAATAATAGAGACTGTGCTTATAATGTTTCGAAAGGTGCTCGCAGTGTGCTAGTATTAGAGACTGTGCTAGTAATGGAGACCTGTGCTTATGATAGAGAAGATACGGTATTGAACTTTTTTTCTCTTCTTTTTCTTGAATTGAACTTGGCACACTTTCCCAATGCATTTAGTAAGCCTAGCAAACGCTGTACCCTATTTTCTGGAGGTGACTGTGGATTTGTACAAGTTGCACATGCTGCGCGAATGCTCCAAACCCCAGCAACAATAAACCTGTTTCCAATGGATTACATTCCTTATCAGAAGAGCGAAAATAAGGATGTGAACATTTCTGTATGCGCTCACTGGTTTGAGGTTAACACCTTTGTATGCTGTGTATGCATATGCAGTTATGCACACATAGAGATATAGGACACGGAGATAGACACGGGCAGAATCATACAGAGAAATCTCCGATAGGGCGAGATTGACACCGATAGACTGTTGAAGAAATCACTCAGTTCCATTTTGCACGTTCGAATGCTGTAGATGCTCAGCTACTGAGCTGGTTTGAGAATCCATGCCCAACTACTATAACAGGAAAACCCTTGACCCGACATATCCAACCCACTTTCTGTGTTGATTGCATTTATTCTATTTCATATCGCAAGTCACAATCACGCCCGATATTATGAACACGATGGAAAGGGATACATTGAAAAGGGAAGATAACCGGCAGAAGTGGAGCGAAGAAAATAGCCCGTGGCGGATTATGCTGGCATACTATCTGGCATAATGTTCGAATTTTGTCCAAACAGTATGCCCTGGCGTAAAAGGACTTCTGAAACCAGACGGTCGGCATAACTGTACGATGCTGGTTGAAGATTACAGGTACATGTACATGTACAATGTATGTTAGAGGAATTACATGTAACCTGGTGAATGTTGCCCCTTGTAAGCCGTGCTGACATGGTGCCAGAGTCGTTGTGACGTTGCAAAGTGCAACAAGACTGCAAGGGTACAGTGTACCACCATCATTGGCATACTTCCAGCATAATGTGGTATAATGACTGGCATAATTTGGTTCATAATGTAAAGCACAATTTACCAAGCATAACCGCCAAGGGCTAGAAGATAACAGTGAGCCTAGAAATCTCTCGGGATAAGGACCATGCCAGCATTAGTCGTGGAAGTAAACTACTCCATTCGATCTTTCTACAGACTTTCAGGCACTGCCAGGGTACGAATCAGTCACTCTGATCCGTCCGCCTTCCCGCTGTTTGCGAAGTGCGGGCAGCGATGACTCGAATTCGATTCTTCTTGTTACTTTTAACACTTGTCAAAAGTAATGCTAGCGACTTTTACCTTGTCATATACTAGCAAATTGTAATCTTGTCACACACTAACCTTGTCTAGGCTGTCGACAGGGGCGCTGTCAGGTCCGCTTGCATTTCATTAGGCACGGATTTACCATCTGACAGTTTTCCGCGACCACCCACGGCCACCACGTGTATCACTACGAGTGCGGTGATGGCTTTTCTACACAGACGCGTGTTTTCGATCGTGCGCTCTAGCTTCCACTTAGTAGGCCTTGCCTCATGAAATGATCAGTTCTGGGGATGACATGCATGTAACTGTTCTTGCGTCTTAGATTGCTTACAATGTGCAATGTCATGACCCCCCCCCCCCCCCCTTCGACGTCATAATCCTGGATTATAATCTGTTGGACTTTAACTACTACGAGAAAAGAAAGTAAAACTAAATGTACATGTATGATGTTAGACTGCTATGGTTTCGCTGAAATGACGTCTCACGCAACTTTTGCAATGCAACACATATCGTGGCAAGGTTGAGACCAGGACAATCTGGGTATTCAATCTACCTCCCCCCCCCCCCCCCCTCCTCCTCGTCTGTATGACGTACATATATCTTAGTAGTCTTTTAAAACCTAATCAGTACTATTATTATTATTATTAATTCAACATCTCCTGGCTCGTCAGAAGACTGCCAATATATATGAGAAGTCGGGTGGTAGCCAACCACGGCGAACTGAATAATAAGGAGAGAAACAAAGAGAGTACTGCAAGAGGAGGCATGACGAAAATCGTGAGACTATTTAGGACGAAGAAGCTGAAGCTTGAACTCCTTAATGTCTGTGCATGCTTTAAGGCTAGTTGGCAGGGAAGACCAGACAGTGTACGCAGAGAAGATGGGAGATTTCAGAAACAGGGAGGTATTGGCACGGGGTAATGAGAAGGAATGACGTGCTGATCTGGTGGACACAAACCAGGTATACGTAGCAAAGTGTTTGGGAGCCAGGTCTAATAAGATCATGTGTACAAGGATGCAAAGATGTTGCTGGTGTCGCTCTAAGAGGGGAGATACTGAAGCTAAACTGTAGAGACGTTAGGAGGAGAGTGTTTGATCTTTGCGAAACAGGATTTTGAGAAGCAGACGCTGGTGTATTTCCAGAGTTTGAACAAGGGCCTGACACTCTCCATAGATATTTTTTGGAAGTTTTTTCCGGTGTTTGCACAATGATTTTTTGTGGCTATTTTGTAAAAAAAAGTCTGAAGAAAAAGTTGAATGGTCACTGCTTGGTTGACGACCACACCATAGCTTAAATTGAGCATCGCTGGCCGTCAGCGAGGGTCCCTTGTTCGAGTCCTGGTGGTCACAGTCAATTTGTTCTTCAGACGTTTCCCGTTTGCAACTCCTTCAAGCTAATGAACATTTGATTCAATTCCATGTAATGAAGAAAATACAGTTAGTCCGTTACGATCTTACCCACTGTATGAACACAGTTATGTCTGTCTAAACGCTTGCCGTGGTCTGTAGGAGGGCTGTGCATTTCAATAAGGAAAACTCGCTGTTAGTCCAGGGGTTGCATCGACTTCCAATGAAAGGGGGATGACAATCCGAAGCCGAGCTTGTTCCAGCTAAACTAAAGTATGATAAACCGTCCGTATTTCTTCCCCCTCTGCTGTCCCCTTGTGCTTCTCGCCACCGGTATTGGCTTCGTTGTTATTGAGTACCTGTGCACATTTGGTCACTGCGAATTAAAATAACATGAAACAACAACAACCGTCTTCACGTATGACGATACTGACAGGGGCAGCATTATCGCCGTGATATGCAATATGCAATGTGCTGCATTGTGAAGTCCTCAGTCTGTGGCGCGACATTTATGGCAACGCGTCGGCGTTCACTCCAAACAGACCGCGTGCCGCACTGGGGATACTGTTGGCCTCACGTTTATTCTTTTACCTAGTTTCTTGCGTGATTTACACCTCGGTGAAGAGATTTCTCGCTAGGTGTTTGACTTCACCTCTTCGAACGTCAGTGCTAAAAATCAGTGTATTCGTGCTGGGATGCGAGATCAGTCTCGAGATCCGCCACCCCTGGGAATAGTCACGATGACCAAATCATACAACTGCCTTGGACTCGCACCTTCATGTTGTTTGCTAAACGCGTAGGAGAAAACATCCAGAGGATCCGATGAGACAAACAATCAGGATCGTGGCACAAACCGAATTCACGAGTACAGGTTAGGGGCGGAAAGCACAGCCAAATGTCGGGGTTAAATATACATTTACGTAGGAAGGATCCTCCGCTCGCATTGCTGTACGAAGGCCGTGCTGAGGGGCTGCACGTCGAGTGAAAACGAATGACTTGACTATAGACAAGCGCCTGACAGACTCGCACGGATATGTCAACTTGTCAGCGGCGTCACTGCCCTAGTTTGGCGATTTCAATCTTCGCTGGAGACATTCTCGACAGGCCTGGTTGAGAGGCGCGAAGTCCTACACTACTAGGAGTAAGAAGTGGCAGTGCTAGAATCTCATCCTGACTCCAGAGTCCCATACAATGAACGTTGGACACGCTGTAGATTCTCAAGTTAGACGCGTGAGTGACACCAAAGTCACCCATCCACATGACGTCAGTGTCCGGAGGGAATGACGTTTGGATGGAGATAGCGCGGCTCGCAGCGTCAGCGGCCTGCCTCCGCACAATACTCAACTGTATCTACTTGCAGTATCTTTCCTGGGATCTCCAGGGGAGCAAATCATGTTTGCGGCGCCTACTGTTGTACACATTACACATGCGCCCTCTCTCTCCAATCGTGTTCGCGATGATACACGTGTTCTCTGCAAAGTCGGTAAACTCGTGTAGGTATACTGGTGGCTCGGTACGTAGCTATTATGCTGATTGACCTGCGGTGGCGAAAGTCAGAGTTACGAATGAAACTGCTCGTCCCCTACGGCGTACGAAAGTAGGTAGGATCCACCTAAATTGGCACCGAGGAAATGTTCGTGGAGCCGTCTGTAACGCCGGGTAGCCACGATCGGCGCTGGGCTGATTTGACGACATTCGCAGAGAACGTGCGTCGCCTGGTTATATGCTCGCACCCGGACCCCATGGGACGAACACATGACGCAAGTATAAAATCGCCACTGACCTCGTGTTGGGAAACAGATCCTTCTCCATTGACTAACGTTAGCCCTCTGAGCCAAGACATATCACTTTAGTCAGGAGAAGCTTGATATCTGGTCGGAACAAAACAATCCCGATCTCTTTTCCTATTAAAAATTCTGTATGGTTACTCACTCCTCAAACTGTTGTGAACGATATACTTTGAGCATATTAGAACAATCGTGGGCGCTGTTGCACAATTAGTGTTCAGACAAGGCAAAGAACGTGGGAACTTTGTAAAGTTGCACCTTTCAGCATTTTTTACAGCACTTGAAGTGGAGCAGCTGACGGCACCTGGAACTGAGGGGAAAACAGCGAGATCGTTTCATTCTATCGACGAGATTATACCAAGCCTGCGCTGTAAGTCGGTACCGATTATCTAACTTTTACACTGTAGATCCAGAATGCCCAGAGGTGCATCGACAACATTATGGACTCAGTATGAAGTAACGATCACGCCTCGACCACGTGACCGGCGTCATTATTCATGAGCTTCACCCTGACTATACCTATGCAAATCTTTGGATTAGAAAATTCTTGGAAATGGCATTTTATTTAGTAGTATGTAGCTATTGTTAAGCTGGAAACGATGCACCCCGTGCTATTGCAGGGCTGGCAGAACACTGAATGCACCTTTCACGATGCACTGGATCACACAGCCGAAGACAAAGGGCAGAAGCATACACTGCATTCGGAACAGAAAAAAACTCATCCGATCTCTTACGAAGTGCAAATACACCTGTTTCACGACGTGTAGACGTACATGACTTGTTTGTGCAGTGAAACGTGTTTAAGACTGCTAAAAGACCCTACAAAATAATATCCCCGACAGCTTGCGCATAAAATGCCAGTCATTTTGTTCATTTTCGTCCGACCAAGTAGTGGGACTGGTAGCGTTCCCTCTTTCCCTACAAAGTACAAGGGTTTCATTCTTCACCTACGTCAGATGACACTTGGAACTCTATTGTGTCTAGCTCATCATGTATAATGGAGTGATCAGCTGTTACGCCCCCCTCCCCTCCCCCCCTCCCCTCCCACACATACACGCCGACAATCTCAAAGTTGCAAGGGAAGGGATGTGGTCAGTATGGGATGTAACTGGGCTCAAAATAATTATATCTTCCGAATCAAAAAATAAATCCCTCCGCACATTCCAGTGAGCAAACAAGCCACGCAGTGCTACAGAGAGGTGAATGACCTTTGCATGTGTATGTATGATTATCTCGTCTAGGTCCCTTGACCAAATCTAGGTGCATTTCTGGACCAGTCCTGGATCTTGTGGAGCGTGAACCCCACCCCAATACAAACTATCAGTAACTGTGCAATGCATAGCAGATGACCATCATGTCCTTCAATTTATGAGGGCTTTAAGTCCTTGGTTGGCTTGGCAAATTCTTTCTCCATAAGAGAAGTAGACGAGCCACAGCGATTCATCGCAGGCGGCAACTAAAAAATCCCTTAGATATACTTCTCCAGATGTCTCACCCGGTCTAATCAAGGCAATTTTTCATCTTCTTAGGAGCAAGGCTATAAAGTTGTCACTGAAGGCCTTCATTAACGAGGTGTCTTCATCGAGCGGGATAGATCGAGCAACTCAGAACTTCTACCAGCGCTAACTGCCTTCGCACAATTCGGTAAGTTTCCTGCTTGTACAAACTAGACCTTTAGTACTGGAGATCGAGACGGGACCAACACTTGGAACTGTCAAATCCATAAGTAAAATGATTCGGCTCAGTCAAGATGGCCACAAACTACCGAATTGTCGGAGGTTGTAATTAATCGATAGAGTTCCTGTGTAGAGACCGCTGTGAGCTCGTATACAAAAAGCATTCATTTCCCCAGGCGACCAGATGATAAATAATCGAGGATAGTAGAAGAGACAATCGCACACATGACCTAAAATCCATACTGTATTAGAAGGCTCTAACTGATCGCTCCATTTGGCGAGGAATGCGCACAGGATTGGCGCCACAGCGTACATGCACATTTCGCTGATTACATGCCCATGTACAGTGCTGACAACTGAAATCCGACCCCTTAGCGGCGCGTCCGCATCCTAGCGGTCTCTGTTTCGTAGTTTTACCATCCCGTGTTGGGTCTTTGGCGATGTGAGCGCACCGCTCAGGGGTCGGATTTCAGTTGCCAGCGCTGTACGTGTCATGTAGCTATCAACGCATGAGATAGGCGCACCTTAGGGCATCCTTTATAAGTAAATTATCCTATCCGTTCCCGAAGGGAACTCACGACGGCCGCCAACACCCGGTAAACCCTAGCGGCAGATGCAGCGCCTAGCGGTGTGGGTGAGTGGATACGTCTCACAACCACAGGCACAAGTGCCGACAAGCCCCATTAGCCGCATCCACGTACCCGTTGTGCTTGGCCACAACCTTCACGCAAACGTATTCCTAGTGATGGCGCAGCATACTTTCTTGCAGATGTAACTTATTGTGTTCGGGCGCGGATCAAACGGCCAGAGTGTGCTCTCACTACCAAAAGCAGAGAGAGATGCATAGCCCAGCAGCACTTGAGCAGCCTACCGAGAGGCTTCAGGGCTAGCACTGTTATTCATTATCGGCAGGAGGTTGTGTGCAGAGTTCATGTCCGGACTGTTAGCTATTTCTATCTTGGTAGGTCTCCTCGACGGGGCTCAACGTGACGGGATGAATTGGCCGAAAATATGAATGATAATAATACATTAGACATGTTCAAGGCCTACGGATGGAAAGGGAGGTTGGTCCGCACCCTCCGACCTCCGATCCTCTCGTGGACACATGCCTAATGGACATGAACATGACCGTATATCTATTACCGTTTGCACCAGAAAACACTCACACGTACATTTGGATTATAATGCTGTCAGTGAACGCATCGTCGCCGACGGAGCTGCATGTTTTACCATACCACCAGGCTGAATAACAGCATGATATTTTAACTTCAGAATATGATTGCTTTCCTTCTGCGCCATCGCAGGGATACAGCGATGTATACAACGTAAACTTCAGAACTGATTGCGAATTCTGGAGGGGAATTGAAAAGAATGGGTGGTGAGAGGGCATACAAGAAAGGAGAAGAAGGATGATTCATGATGCTGATGCAAACACGATATTCGAACGTTATGACAATCGTACTGGACTCAGGACCTAGATAATACGAGTACATGCTGACGTAGAGTCGCTGGTAGGAGTCTCCCGGCTGTCTCAAACCGTGGCTTACAGTTACACCCGTCCAGGTAACAAACAAGCGATGGCCAGGCGATGTGATATGGAACTGATACATGTACATGTAGGGTTACACAAGGCCTAAACTGCGAGCACTTGCCCCAACGGTACCCAGGACTAGGCATTGGCGGATAATGCTCGAAAAGCAGTGAAATTGGCAAAACCTTACAAACCTTATGGCGAGCAATTCCTCGAATTCTGCTCTATTTCTTTATCCACATACCAAACATGCATGAAACGTACCAGAAAAAGTACCGAATTCTGCCAATTTTTCTGCCGGCATTATCCGCAACGGCCTACCCAGGGCTCCCCTTCACTGAATGACATCTTACAGGGACAATGCTGACATTGACATAATACTTCATACATTTTATCTATTCTGCGTGCACCTCAATACAAGTACCTTTTGTCATTCATAACCAGTTCGCCTAAAGGATGATCATTTCCCTCATGGCCGAGTCCACCTACCGCATGAGAAATATGTAGGGCAAAGGATATCTGATGCTCGAGATCCACACGTCACAAATCTCCCTGTTTGTGTCGAAAGCAGCTCCTTACCCCGGTTACACTGGCCAACCTCACGTATCAGATTGGTCTTTGACGAAATGCTACAAATAACAAATTAAGTTTGTCGTTCAGCCTTCACTTGTGAGAACCAGTACCTTTGGAGTGTGCAAATCGAGCACTTACAATTACAATTTCGGCGCATCTATATGTACATGTACATGTACATGTACCTCGTCACGGGGCCAGCTATCGTTGGAATAAATAGCTTGGAAAGGCCCGTGGAAAGATCTGTTTGTAGCTTGCGAAGGAAGTGCATTTCGGACCTGCAACTCTGCTTCCGTTTTCATTATGGAGAACCTGTCGCAAGTCAACATTTTAATTAAAGTCTATTTGGTGTCCTTACAAGTTGCCCTAGGCATTTAACCACATGACGTCGGTGGAAAACTCTCCTGTGCGCTTCGCAGTCTCTGCAGAAGTTTCCCTGCCAGCGCCGAAACAGCTGCAAGCTAGGTACTAGTGGTGAAAGGCCTCTCAACGTAAGAACTTCAAAATAGGCACGAAATTCGAGAGGGGAGCTTCGGTGATCAGCCTTTTCAGCAGAGTGAGTAAGCAACACCTGTAACTTGAGTGACAGACAATAGGCACACGACTGGTTTCGTCGGAAACTGCAAATAGGCATTGTACACACTGACTGTACGACGTTCGCGGATACTCGCAGTCAATGCCCAATTTGTTCCCCTAGACAAACATTCTCAACTCTTCTGAAACTGCAATATAACGTACATGTACCTCCAAAGAGCGTACATCAGTACGTTATATCCGAGGCACTCCTTGTCAGACGTCAAATGGCCGGAACGGAAGATATAGCATTCTCAAAACAGTACATAGTACCTGTATTTGTATTTATGGATTCTCCACAGGCCTTAGCCTAAATCGAGGGAGTCTCCGTACTTTATATGCTATTCAAAGAGAATTTCGAGAGGACTGATAACTGAAGTTTGACAATATAATTATTATTATTATTACATCAGTAATATCGAAAAGATGGCACGTTGCGTAGTTTGGAATCGGCTCGACCGCAAGATCGGTATGGTACTCATGGGACATTCAAAGTCTCACAAGACTGTATGTCCTCGTCCAGTAGCAATTCGTGTTGGCTACTCATGTAGCAAGTGCTGGCATAACAGGTTTCACTTTTCTCGAGAAGCACTGGATCTAAGCGTCTAATCAGCTCTGCCCCAGATTTCACATACTTGCACCAATGCGGTGGCTAGTCGTCCTTCGCGGGCGACAATCAACTGCCGCTTAAACTAACTTCCTGTTTATATCTTCGAGTTTCTGAGACGTAAGAGTTCTAGCTGGTCTGTTTGAGGTGATCGGCGAGCCGCAAACGATATCCCAGTGAGGCTACAGACGGTGGCGCTGCAGCTGGCGACCAAGGGATCTAGGGCTCACGGAAATGTGATCTTGTCAAAACCTGGTTGAAATGGTCACATGAGTACAATTGCACTTGAAGTGTGAAGAACTAATGAGGTGATCTTGCAGCTGACCGAAAAATCGTAAAGTTCGCAGAATGACACGCATTGAATTCTGCTCAAAACAAAACAAAAAACGCTGTGATTTAATAGGAGTGCAGTGATGCTGGTAGCCCGATCTTGCAGCTACATGTAACTGAAATCCAGAAATCCCGCAGCCCTCACCATCAGTCAGCTGCTACGGAAAAGAAAGGACGGACAGTAGCCCGGGCACAGTCGCGCTGAGTGGTGTCTGTTCCAAGAGGTCTCAATGCGTCAGTTTGTAGTTGAGGCAGCTCTCAAGAGGGAGGTCGGCACCGCTCACGGATTTGCGTGGGTGGATGGCTCGTCCCAGCCGTGTTTTAATGCGGGCGTTCAGTACACTGATAACCTCTCATGCATAGAACATGCACATGCACATGGATGCTTCCTTGTGACAGTACATGAGCCCACCTGCATCGGGAGTCTCCGCAAGCAATGCCTATGTACAAGGACTGCTTAGCAATTGATTACAGGCTGCCAAACTTGTGTAGGCTGTTGCCAACTAACAGTTTTACTAACTTGGCACGATAATCAAGGGCTGGCTGTGTGGGGTTACAGCCAAGAACGCTGTAATCTAGCCACCATAGTAGTATTATCTGAAAGCACTTGACTGATGCCTCGGCGTGAAAGGCTGGTTGCATTGCCACAGAGAGCCCCCCCAGTCCGTGAAGGACTGTGTGTCAATTCGACGTCCAATCTCTAAAGAGATAAGTGTGTTAGTTCTCGTCTTCACCCCTGACATTCTGCAAGAGGTACCTGAAACGAAACCGCTCGCTGAAGTGCTAGTTCCGTAACTGCTACTTGCCTACTTGCCTACTGCTGCTGCCATAGTGCCATTCTCTGTGTTTGCTATGACTGGCTAGGGATATGTGCATTGTACACATAATTATATGCACCCTCTGTAAAACTGTCAGAGGACTGGGTTTGCCCGGGCCATAGACAGAGCCTAGGCCATGGACATGCATAACGGGATAGGCCGGGCCGGTACGGTGGGCGTTGATTTTTTTGTGTGCTTTCCTTCATTTTAAAATTCTTTTTTCCGAGATCAAGTAAAAAGATATGTGGCAGCATTCCGTATTGCACTATGGCAACACTGATAGTCATTCCAATGCCCGACAAACACTCGTGCATGTACAAGTACTTGTAGTGATATAGGGAGGCGGCCGTAGACGTACATACAACTGAGTTACGACATTGATTGGGCAGTAGGGGCGTCGGGGCATAGTTATCGCGACGTGTCTGTGGTAAGCCGGTGAGATAGGGGTATAAAGGAAAGTTGTGTTTCATATTTTGGTTATCCTTTTCCTTTTGATGGTTAACTCAACACAGCTGTTCCTATTACTCTATTCCATTTTTCCCAGATCACGTCGAGATCATCCAAAGCCCCCTAGCTTTACTACGGCGACGTCTTACTTTACCTAAGATTACGAACAGGAATGGAGCTGGTTACGTTTCGCCAAGGACTGGCTCTAGTCCTCGTGTTGGCATTCAGCCAATGCTGTCTGGTTTCAACGAAGTGTCATAACCCCTCGCCCAGGATTCGTAGATTCTGTGCACATAGCAATAACCATCATCATTGCAGAAACATTAAATTTTGCAAGAACACAACTAACGAAAGCGTTGATAATGTGATCGCGGCTCATAATCACACGGACGAGAACGACACCATCGCCATAGCTTCGTCGCAGCAGCAGAACCTGTCACCGACGCGCGGTTCTCCTCTGCCCACTATCCCTTCAACAACGACTGGATGCAGGCACCGACGTTGTCGACTCGTCAAGCGCGACTACAAAGTCAAGTTCGGTCAATGCACGTTCGACGTCGCCCTCCGACGGTGCGCTGGTAAATGCTGTTCGGAGACCAGGCCGGTAGTCGTGCCAGAAAGCATTCCAACGAACCAGCTCTCTATTGGAGATTTCTTCACAGCTAGAGGAGCGTGCTGCAAAGCAACACAGACGAGTCATTTCACGGTGACGAGAGAGTGCAAAGGAGCCGAAATCACTGTACGGCTCACGGAAGCCAAGGCTTGTCAATGTTCATAATATGCAACTCAATCTCTGACCTATTCCCCCCGAGAGATCGTCTCATCTTTACGAACATAAACTCAATACGCTGCAATATGAAACTATACAGTATACTTCGAAGTACTCATAACTTGTCTTCTCGATTATCCTCATTTTATCCACGTTGATTCCCAATGCTATAACAGTGACTGGCGGCATCTTGAGACCTAAGTTTATATCCTATTTCCAACTTGATTTCTTCTGAACGACACCATACCTCCTCAAATATGCAGTACGTTGCGTTTACTCAATCTCTGGACAGCTAACTGTTTCCACCCAGCTTGATTTGTGGCATAGGCAGAGCTCAGAGTCACTGACCAAAGTGTGCTCATTCACGTTTTGTGAACAGCAAAGCGCGTTCAGATCGGTCCAAAGCATCAAAGCCAGAGCCAAGCGCGAATTGTGAGAAAGCACAGCGAGCTTTGCACGAGGGCAAATGGCGTTAAACTTAGACTTCCTGCCTTCTCCTGTGTATGGGACTGCATGCACATTGCGTGAGCAAAATATGGACCAGGGAGGCTCGAAAGAGGACAAGTATTACTTGACAGATACAGTTGGCAAGGGGTAACATAAAAGAGAGAACAATTCAAGTTGAGACTTGGCAACTTCACGCCTGCACCTGACTCTTGCGCTATTATACCCCTACGAATTTCTCACCTTGCTCCCCCTTATGTTCAGGCAGCTCGTTTTGGAGCCATCAGTTGCCTGATGATCGTAGTACAAGTACGTGAACCTCAGAGTTGCGACACAGCTCCAATCTCTATTGTGAACAATTCAAGTTATCGATTTCTGTGCACAATATAACAATTTGGACCCTTTCTCAAAGGTCCTGGGGAGTCGACGTAACCATAGAAAACAGACACAGATAATGCTATGCAGGCGGACCAGGAAACAATGTGAGCAGTTGAAAGATTCTTCTGCTACACAACAGAGAGAGAAAGAGAGAGAAAGAGAGAGAGAGATAGATAGATAGATAGATAGATAGATAGATAGATAGATAGATAGATAGATAGATAGATAGATAGATAGATAGATACGTACGTTCGGATCTGATTGGAAATTTTTATTTCCATTGCTATCAGGTTCGGCCTCATTTCCTCTGTGCTGCGCTGACGAGTCCACAAAGGACGAAACAGTTCTGTGCGCAGATTGAGTAGATAGATAGATAGATAGATAGATAGATAGATAGAGAGAGAGAGTGAGAGAGAGAGAGAGAGAGAGAGAGAGAGAGAGTGAGAGAGAGAGAGAGAGAGAAAGAGAGAGAGGAAATAGAGAGAGAAAAATAGAGAAAGAAAGAAAGAGAGAAAGAAAATAGAGAGAGAAAAAAGAGAGAAAGAGTGAGAGAGAAGAGACAGAGACAGAGAGAGAAAGAGAGAGAGAGAAAGAGGGGGAGGGAGAGAAGGAGAGGGAGACAAAGAGAGAGAGGGACGGAGAGAGAGAGAGAAAAAGAGAGAGAGAGAGAGAGAGAGAGAGAGAGAGAGAGAGAGAGAGAGAGAGAGAGAGAGAGAGAGAGAGAGATAGAAAGCAAGAGAGCTGTGTGGCGACTCTGACGGTAAGTCCCGAGCATCAATCAATTGCCAAAGCCAGCTATAGTCAGTTTTGCTAGCTGGAGACAATCAACAACCTTTTTGCTAATAGTTCTATTGTTACGATGACAACGAGGCCAGAAGCATATGGCACGCTTGACCAGTATTCAGGAGCAACGTCGTACAGATACAGTTAGCGCACAAAGATCAGCTCAATTTTACATGTCTGGGTTATCCTAGCAACTTACTCAATGCAACGAAAGACATTCCTTGCACACGCTGTGTGTCTGTCGAATGGTGCTTTAGTCAATAGCTTGCCACTAGAACGGAATGAAATGGCTGCAGGGACGGTTGCTAGAGTCGCTGGAACATACAAATAAAGTTGAGAACGTTGAGACAGATCACCCATTGAATGAATGTAGCTTAGACCTCGTAGAAGTAAGCAGATAAGAACTATTTCACACAACTTTTCAAGGCAAACAGTAGTAAAGAAAGGCTTTTGTGTGTTCGCATATCGACTGCAATCAGATGAGACGAATATAGTAATACTCATTATTCTTCTAATGCAGTGCTGTCATTCATACCCGAATACTACTTCATGGGCTGGCTATCACCCTGATATGCCAGAACCTGAGCCTTACCAATACAGGTACCAAACAGTACATCCAAAGGCCGTTAGGATCTGACTACTTATGTGCAAACTGGCCACAACGTGATATCGTCTTCTACGCCTGTAGACACACTGCGTTGGCATTCATCAAATCCAGTATCTAAAGGACATTGTAAAAGAGTCAGCACACAAGTATTGCTTCATGTTCATCAACGTTTGAATCGACAAACAGTTGTCAGAGGTGCAAGAACCTTCATGGGACGTTGTGATCGAGTTGACTTGGCAAACAAAGCTATTACAGGTATTCCACTCGGTACAATCCATGAACGATTTAAAACATCTTCCAGAGCACACGAGGATCATTTGCAATGAAAACATATTCTTTGAGGTGAGGCAACTAATGTGCTAGTTTCATGTGCTGCAGTTCCCCATCACCAGACACGAGCTGCCGTCACTTGTGTCCCTAGTAGTGTTCCTGAGGTCTACAGGATGGCTGATACTTGCTGTTTTATCAGATAGCCTCGCTGCCAGGATGTTGGTTTCTAACAGCAGTTGCATGTCCCTGCACGTTTGAACATCATACAAAGACCAAAAAACTTGGTTGGAGACCCAAAGATGGCACAATATAGCAAAGAAAAGGACCCAGCAAGGAACTACAAGTTAAGGTTACGTTACAATATCCACTTACACCACCAGTTACCTGACCGTTGCAAGTGTTGCGTTGTAATCTGTGCCCATTATTCGGTGCACGATTGCTATGTGACCACTCAGCAGTTACAACACATCAGTTTCTGGCCCATGTTGTTTAGGTTGTTTGGGTCATACCAAGAATGGAACACTCCCTGGCAAACCACCTCGAGCAAGCACGAAACATACATCTCTTTGGTAAGGTGTTGATTGCACCCACCGAAGCTGCCATGGCTGGTGATAATCGCCCTCGCCTCCTCCTTGATTGGCCTTGGCCATGAGTGTGTGCGTAATAATACTAATAAAAGCATACCACACCGCCATAACGCTACAACCAGCTAGACGTTTCGTAGATACAGTAAAACCTGTAACTAAAGACCACCGTGACTAGCGACCAGCCTGGTACTACAGTAAAACCTGTAACTAAAGACCACCGTGACTAGCGACCAGCCTGGTACTACACACCACTTCGCCAGGCACGGACGGTCTCACATACAATTATGGTTGTGCGGTGCACACCTCTAACTAAGGACCACCTGCCACTAAAGACCGCTTTCTCTGGCCCCAAGGGGTGGTCGTTAGTCACAGGTTTTACTGTATAGGATACAACTAAATCACCCAACAGCGAAGTAAACCAGAAATTGATACACGAGAATTCTATTGTTCACAATCCAATATAATCCTAGTTGTGTTTAAATAGACGGAAGGCGCAACGAGTCACAACGAGAGGCACATGGCTAGAATATACTTAAGTATCAACATCATGAACTAGTTCAGTAAATCCTTCCTTGCTAATAACCTTCTGCACACTTTACGACGATAAATAGTACCCACTATCGTTTGTAGCAGAATTTGTCTCACTTGCCGACGTCCTCGAGTCGTATTTGCGCCTCTACACGGATCGCCAACTCTGTTCACATTGCACTCGATCTATCCTGTTAACTACCACAGAAAGGTTGTGACAAACATGCTGCATTGCTGCAGAAATGGTCATACTTTTCAGCAGAGCAGTATTGTGTATTTCATTCCGACGCTATAATTATTTACAATGTTACTGTTGTTGTTGTTTTTGTTGTTGTTGTTTTATTTTACTTCATCAGATTTACAGGCAAGGATGCCTTCTCACCGGCCAGGGGCCAGTTCTGCAATGCTACTCTTTCTAGGTGAGAGGCCCAGAGCATTAGTGATGCACATTATAACCCTGAAGCACAACCTAAATTAGTTATGCAAGAATGGACTCGGATGGAGAGCCAAGGATAAATTTATAGATAGGAAAAAGGACCAAGGACCACCAAGGACCAAGGACCAAGGACCACCAAGGACCAAGGAGCTGATTATTAGTAACTGGTGGTGTCAGTGGACATTATAGCGTAACTTGTAGTTCCTTGGCCCTTTTTCTTTTCTAAATTAGTTAGGGCAACGAAGAAAGAAACAAAACTAGCACGCACAATTTACATCGCGGTACAAATTACCTACATTGACTTGATGGTGTGGTGGTGGGGATGGCTCTTCAGTGGTATAATGTTGCCGCTGCTCATAGCTGCTTCCGCTCATCAACAAAACCTTCGCACTCTTTCATCTTTCTGTGAGAACCGGACGTATCTGACGATGAGAAGGCAATAATACCTTTGCAATTGGTGAAGTAGAATAAAAGTCAACAACAACAACAACAACACTCAGTGAATTTGTAACATGGAAATTGTGGGCACGAGTTATGCGATCGAGTCCACCAACTAAACCAGAATTTGAACAATAAGACGGGCACAATCTAGCACAAAACTGACAACGCGTACTGAGACATTCCACGGCATGAAAGTCAGCTTGAGCACTGCTCGAAATTGTGCCCACACTTTCCATGTTACAATTTGTTTCCTTGCCTCACCACCTGAGTACTCAGAGAATTGCAGTACTGGTAGATAGAAGTTACAGAAGACAAGGGTTTTTTCACTAGGAACTGGAATCAAAACTGGTTGTCACAAAAATCAACAGTTTCGCTGAAGGCCATGTGCATATACTAGGCACCGGCGGATTCTGCCCGAAGAAAATTTGGCAGAATTCGGTACTTTTCTGGTACGTTTCATGCATGTTTGGTATTTGGATAAAGAAATGGAGCAGAATTCGAGGAATTGCCCGCCATAAGGTTTGTATGGTTCTGCCAATTTCACTGCTTTTCGAGCCTAATCTGCCACTTTTTCGAGCAGAATCCGCCGGTGCCTAGCATGTACACCACATTGACAACTGGGGCTGTGCAGATCAGTCCACAACTACCCCCACGCGGTACTGCAAACCCCGTCCTTTTGTTTAATAAGAAAAGGAAATGGGCAATAAAACAAAACAAAATGGTAACAAATCACAGTTCGTTTGGAAGACAGCTGGAAAATAGCATAGCGACGTGGAACTTCTGTAGACATGTGTTGACAATCTTCCA